AAATGGTACATTTTCGGCGACCCAACTTTATTGTGGATATTGTATTGTTTTATACTTTTTGTACATTTTATATAAATTATATTTTCTTATAAAAAGACAATAGAAAAATTTTGGACCTTTTTTTACAGAAATGGTACCTTTTTAAACCAATTTTGGTACAGAAAAAAATTTTCAAGTGGCAACCGTGCTTTTAACTTATAAAACAGCTGTGTCGTCTGCAAATGGGCCGATTATATTCTCGTCGATAAGGGAAAAGTACGTAGTATATAAAAGATAAAGCAGATAGATTAAATAAGAGTTAATGAATATTACTTAAAATTCTGTTAATTTTTAACATAGTTTTCTTTATATTGTATTACAGCAATTTTATAAAGTAATGGAGAATGGACATAGAAGTTATGTATAAGAAAATCATATTTTATTTTAAATAAATTTTTTTTATTGAAATTATTCTTGCATTTAAGACCTTACATAGAATTTAGATAAAATGAAGTTTCAACTTTGGCTTTTAATTATTTCGATTGGAAACTGATATAGTATATAAATATCACTTCTGCTCTATTTAATTACATTCATAGAATCAGTAAATAATTCATTAAATCCAACTCTCTAGGTTGAAATATCTATTATTACTATTTCTATTAAGAAACCTTACATTTAATGTGCTTTTATGTAAACAAAATATTTTGTTGTTACATTCTCACATGCAGAGATATTGCAATAAATTTTAATTAAGACTGAATTTATTGTGCATTAAAGCGAAACATTAAAAGTAAATGAAAAATAAATAAGAAAACTGAATGGTAAACCTTTCGAATGATTTGTTGAAACTGTAGGTAAATACAGAATTTCATGCAAAATTCTACATTTGAAGAGATCTTGGTTGCAGCAACAAAATTAAAATTTCGAATCACATTCAAATACGATTTTGACGTCAAATTGTAATTTATGAAAGAATCTCCGTATTTATGTTTGTGGCTTTCGTTACTTTTTGTAGAGACTGCAAATATTTTGACTATATTTCATAAGTGTAGTTTCTACATAGTTTTTGTAGAAAGAAAATTATTTGCAAAAGCAATTCTGACAAAAATACAAAATTTTAATAGAAAATATAAAAGTGGACGTGATATGTGACGTGATTTAACTTGACCACAACAGGAGGGCACCATAGAGTACAGCATGAGACACCCACACGACTACTGGCCAAAATAAACAAAATCATTTTCTATAAACATAAAAACCGTTCATGTAAAAATAATATGAGCAAAAGTATAGAAACTGAATTTAATTTTTTATATTTTATTAAAAATTAATCATCATTATATATATATTTTAAGTGAGTTTTTGTAATATTGTAAGCATGAAAACACGTAATGGAATACTAAAAGATGGAAAAAGCAGATGGTAACTGCAATCGGAAAATCTGAAATAATCTCTGCCTAATTTATGCGCGGTTAAAAGTATTAATTCGCGTGCCAACTGCCCCCAAAAATATTGCCTTGAGCAATTAAGAGCAATGAGCGCAAAACGCCGATCAATTGCCATGCCACTTTGGTCCGCGACAATGGCGTAGTGCGTTTATTTTAAAACAAACAAAATAATATTACAAAAAGAAAAAAATTCAAAATACAAAATTTGTTTAACAAAATTTAAACTATATTATTTAAATATTTTTATTTATTTATTTTTTTTTTTTGAGTAAATGTTATTTACAGACGTCATTAAATAATTTGCATGTATATTGGCCGATCATGTCTACAAATGACTGCCTCATTTATATACAAATGCAGAGACGTTTATTTTTTAAAGTTTACAAATATAAAATATATTTAAGTTTATATATAAGTATATATAATATACGTATACGAAATATATATTTTATTTTATATGCCTGATGCCGCCTTATGGTTTCACACTTTTGTTTTTGTCGATGTTTTTCGTAGGAAAAATGGAAAATCTCGAGGAAAATTTGCGTCAGTCGAAGAAATCAGTTCGTCTGCTACAGACAGAAATTCAAATTAAAACTTTCTGCATTTCCATTACGTTAATAAATTAATTTTAAATTTAAAATGGCTGTAAGTGTTAAATTAAAATTTTTTTATAAGGAATTAAACCGACAAATGATCCTTTTATTAACGCATATTTTACAAAATTATATAAACATACATATATAACTAAAAAAATGTAATTTAGTGATACAAATTATTTTTTTTTCTGAAATGTACTTATAAAAAAATTTCTACGTTTTTTGGCAATAAAATAATGTATTGGTACTGTAACAAAAGCACTACCTTAAAAAAGTTACTTATGTGTAAATAAAATTTACATAAAATAATTAAATAAAAATTATGTTTTAAATTTTTTATTCACAAAGTGATTTTTCTTT